GGGGGAGAATGAGAGAGAGAGAGAGAGAGAAAGAGAGAGAGAGAGAGAGAGAGAGAGAGAGAGAGAGAGAAAATTGTGTGTGCGTATGTATGCCTGTGTGTGTATCTCTGTGTGTGTCTGTGTGTGCGTGTGCGTGTATGTGTGTGTACATTTTGTGATTGTGAACCGTTTGTATGTGCAGGCTTTGTGTCCATGTATACGTAAGTACACAAATATAATAATAAATATTACCATACCACATCTACACAATTATATAAGTATACAATGTAAATTTTTGTGTGTGTCTGTGTGTGTGTATGTGTGTGTGTGTGTGTGTGTGTGTGTGTGTGTGTGTGTGTGTGTGTGTGTGTGTGTGCGAGTGGGTGTGGGTGTGGTGTATGTGTGAGTATGTAATATGATAAAAAAAATAATAGAAATACAATTATTTACAAAGAACAGCTGTCTCAAAGTTATACCTGTAAAGATATCCCTCCGTGAGAAGGATGTTTTAGAGCCAACATATCTGGGAATTTTAATTTCATTCTTTATGTTGTTCTGCAGCAACCGACTTGTGGAAAAACCACCTCCATATCCCAGCAAACCGTCTTCAGAATACGGAACCGTCCAGGAAACACGCATTGGAAATTAAAGATATATGACGAGAATGTTGATGAATAGAATCAAACAGGAAATACCATTTTAAGGTTTTAATAAATCATATTTTTGTAAAGATGAATTATTGGTGTTCGTTCTTTTATTACTAGTGTCCATTCCTAGGAGGAGTGGTTTTAACTCAATGCAGACGACCATTCAAACCATGCTTGGTGGGTTCTCTGAATAGACGTCTATTCCATACAGGGCCTAAAACACAGTATAATAATCCACAATAGTATTGTATTTATACTGCATAGACAATCGACATACAGCTATATGATATCTTTAAAAAATGAAATTGTGTAGGGCCAACGCATTTTGCTACACTTTAAAGTCAATTATGATTCGGGACCTACGAATTTATCTCCGATATGGCCGTGTCAGATGCTACAATTCGTAGAAAATACCCTTCCCAAGGACAAAACATCGGTTAGGGCCTTGAACCCTTGAATCTGCAATCTCACAATAACGACACCGGTAGTCTAACCACTAGACAACCGACATCACACAATGCCCGTTCGAACTAGGGAAGCCTACATCGTTGATATGACTCTCTGCTATCTTTCTATCGCTGTCAATAGTATGGTTTCATACTTGTGAATTGTGAAGTCTCATGCTTTTTTGTGCGTTTTATACGGGTTAAGTACTTGTTCGATATTTTGAAAGTAGTTACAGTCTTAAAAGCTTGAGCTGCCTGAAGTGTCTACTCACAAATATCTTAGATCTTTCAAAGGTAAACAATAAAATGGTCGTGGATTCCACAGGATCAGTTAAATTGATAGAGATTGTAAATACGCCCAGACAGGGTGTGTCTCATTCACTTTCCCCTTTCTTATCTTTTTTTTGGTAAGTGTTTTACGGCCCTCGCAACTGTATAGGGTCATATGAGGGCACGGGACACATTTAACATTTTCAGTAGCTAGGAAATTTTTAATTTTGCTGGGGTTACGGCCGAAGCCTATTCTTATCGATTTCTCCTACTGTAAGATGAGAGGTTATGTGGCTGAAAGACAGCAGTAAGAAGGAGCCAATGAGTAGCGGTAGAAAGGCTGCAGAAAGAAGACAGGAGCCCAGAGGAGGGGGCAAAGGAGGTGAGGGGGTGGGGGCAGAGAGGGAAGACGAAATCAGACGATAGAACAATGTTAGAGAGCAGGAAAGAAGGTGACAGGAGAACATTTCTAGAGAAAAAATTCTCCGTTGCTATCCTGATCCGAACCCAGGACCTATTGAATAAAAGGCGAACACTGTAACCTTATTTGATGGTTTCGAACGTCCCGTACTTCCTGTTACTGTTACCCTAACCGCTCTCAGGCGGCGATGTGTTTAATGCGTGAGAAACCGTATTCACCCTTAGTTTAGTTTCAGTAAGAGTTTTACGGCATTTTCAACACAATTAGGCCTTATACGTGCCGAAGATTAGAGGCATCACAGAGAGTCGTACACAAAAAGAAAAAGAGAAATAAGGACGATAATAAATGCTTGATAGGAAAGAAGTAGCAAACCACACCATAGCACCCGTAAACCAACCACGATTCACTCTCATATTTTATTCAGTGCAAAGCCGTGTTTGACCACACAGTTGTCATGTTATGTGTTAGTTGTGAAGGAGAGATTGGGCCCGCTTTAGGCTTACATCAAAGAAAACCTGTCGGAACCTAGTATGCAGTGACTTTTATGAATGGGCTTTCAGATTCTGTTAGTTGCTTATCTTTTAGACTTGCATGCAAAGACCCAGACAGATTAAACAGAGCAATTCGTTTTTATCCCGTTTTAACCGAGGTCAGACGAAAGTGAACGAGCCATAGTGAATGTTTTAATTGATTGGGGTAGGGGAAGGTGAGGCGTGTACAACTTACTTGACTTGAAACATTGCAGCATGCTCTGCTCTTCGGTGTATGTATACATGCTTCAACACTGCACTTTACGTGTTTATTATCAACGGCTTTTTAGAAGTGTTTTCTAGAAAATGCTAGAGGTATTACTCACATAGTCACTTGTTAACCTCATAAAACAGTCTGATCATACGTGTATGTAAAATGGACGCAGTGCAAGTATTTAAATTACACACGAATTCTTACACTTATACATTATCACATACACACACTAACACACACACGCACACACATAATACTATTTACACACTATCGTTCACATGTATACAAGGTACTCTCTTTTTCTCCCTTTGTCTCTTGGCCACTCACCTCCCTCTTCCCCAAACATAAACAGGCAAACATCCAGGCTCCAATGCCACACTGATCATACATGGAAATCCAGATAGTTGCACTTATGCAATCATTCTCCCAAACTCAAGAAGCCATCTTTAGAGAATTTTACGCCAGACAAGGAAAATGTTTGTTTTCTACTTGGTAAGAACAGTTTACCTTGTTAAAGCACGTCTTGACTACCACAAATTCAGCACAGATAGCTCGCTAGAACGTCATTGCTCTTGAATGACCAATAGAATGTGTACCTATGTAAAAACTCACGACTGTTCTCCTGCATTCTTAGCAAAAATTGTGATGAAGCCAACCAAAAGAGGGAAGCCACCATTCGCAAAGGTAAAGTAAAAGGCCCAGCTCTCCCGTGCTGCAGAAGCATCCCTATTGGAATAAAGTCACAAACTCACAATTGACTTTGGCATCAACGGTACAAAGCAAATTATAAAACAGTAAGTCAAATGTTCAAGGACTTTGGAAGTGAAGAGGCGTAGCACAACATGTTAATTTATGATGCGGTTGCGGCCTATCCAAATATTTTCGTAAAGGTTAGAATACAAAACGTTCCAACAAATTAATAGGTGAGGAGGAAGGGGTTGAGGGATCAACGGAGAATTAGGGAGAGGGGGGAGGAAGGGGAGGGGGGACAAAAACTTCATTTGTACGTACTACTTTACACGCCCATAGAAGTTTTCATAAATAGCATCCTTTTTTAGGTCCATCAACACCCCAGTCGCAATAGACAAAACACTTGTAAAATTCAAGAAAAGAGCAAAGTGTGAATCTACTTTCACGTACATCTGTCTTTGAACAGGGGTTTCAGGAAAGAGAAATAAAAGCATCTTGCGGTATGCATCTCGCACATTATTAAGTACCGAATGGACGCAATTATCAAAACGCTTTATACATTAGTAACTACCAAACAAAAAATCTACACATTGTGGGATTCGAAAGTAGCAGCGTCTTGCTTAGAACAATTGTAACTTTTTTCCTCTGCTTTCTTCTTCCACTATCGTGAGTGTAGCAAACACGCAGCAATTATTGGAACATTTTGTTTAATTAAACACACTCTGCGTGTATTTTACACTTGTATTAACGTAACAGTAGAATGTATGGTATAATGTTGATTGAAAGCCCATTCGCGCACAACTAGTTTTTTTTTATGAAAGGAGACTGCCAGCTTCCGATAGGGAACCGAATCAAATGGATAGAGACCAACACTTCTTCTGAAATACATCTATCCTACTGCGTCAAATAAAGGATAATATATCTCTACGTTAATATCTTTTCTCATTCTCTTCGAACGTTGTTTTTTTTTTCATTCTGTTGTGCGATCTAAAATTCGTGGCGCACTTATCGTCGAATATCTCTTCAACTGTTGAATCAGTGTCACCCATACTTTGCACAGCTGTTTGTATCAATTTGTCTAAATTTAATTATATTTTTCCAAAAGAATTGAGGCTAGATTTGAAAAAAAGTATACTTATTATGATATTTATATAAAATACAATAAATCTCCGTCACGCGGAAAACGGGATTGTTCACAGCGCTTCCCTCTCCCCACACACATTTTGTATACGCATATGGCCTACGTCATAGCTCATCAATGGCACTTTTCGGTGGCCAACATGTTACCAGAAAATAATTTCTATAGTAGTGAACACTTTGTTATGCGCTGAAGGTTCTCAAAATAAGCGTTCAATAAGCATAATGTCGGGACAAGATGATATTCGAAAGCAAGCCTGTGGTAAAAAGAGTGTCATTCCAAGCAAATGCAAAACTTGCACCATTGTGGGAAATAGTATAGTAAACTCATAACAACAACATTATCTCAGCATGCATTTTAACCACAAATAAATATTATTGCTCTTTCGTTATAAAAGAAAACAGTTTTGGAACTTTGAAATCATTGATCAGTAACAGCTATCATTACCTTACAAGTGATTTTGTGTGCAGTTTTACGCAAAAATACAACGTTTCTTATGGTACTAAAGAGATCTTTTAGGAGTGCATAGAGTACGTGACATCGATGATTCAGACACCAGTTATCAAGTTCAAAATCAACCGTTCATTAACGATCCCGTAAACATATTATTTTGCTTCGACATCGGCCGTGAGATAAGAAGTAAAAAAAACCAGTGACTGCGTCTATTTTTTTAAATAGCCACGTGGTAGAATATGTAGAAAAACGTTCGATATGATTCATATGATTTATCTTTAATGAGACTGTTGCGGATAACTGACTGAGTAAGCTGTATAATAATATATTCATAGGTGGCCAACGAAGCCCAAGTGGTTGGAGGATCTAGATGTATAAAGCAGACAGTGCAACGTGGACGTTTTGTCCTTTGATTCTTCACATTTGAATTTCTTTTAAACTGTCTTTCCTTGTCGAAATGTTCCCATTCATTTTCATTTGTCAAGAAAAGAAGTTAATTTTTCCCAGGTGAGCTTTTTACGATAATGAAATATTTGGAAATGATTGTTAATGTCTTACGCCCCCCCACCCAATAATTTAGGAAGCAGGCTGATTCGACCACGTTTATTGGAACAACCTGTGCTAAGTGAAATAAGTATCCCAACAGAAAGATAAAGGCATTCAATTTTTAAAAAGACTTCCCAACATCGGAATTGAACTCGTATATTTTGTGTGCTGCAGTCAACCGCCTATTCATTCCGCCTCATATGATCCACAGCAAGTTTCACGATAAAAAAGAAAACAAAACAAAAAACCGGTATAGCTTCTCTCTCCCAAGCCCCCCCCCCCCCCCCCCCCCCTTCATTTCTCTTTCCACAAAAATATTTTAAAAAACAGGTGGTACATGTAGATATTTAAGAATGACAATAATTATTGGTCAACAATGAGCTTGACGGGTCCACTACTTTCTGGAGACACTATTGTCAATTGTCATAAGGTTGCTTTCAGACAAAGATTGCTCTACTGACGCGATTTCTCTCAGCTTACTAAGACCATTTTTGTCTTAACTAGTGCATTGATGTGCTTTTTCAGAGTAACCCAACTCTGTTAAAATCGCATTGTCATGATTTACTGAAAATGTGTTTTGCGTTTAAAGTAATGCTTCTGAACCTATATTCATAGCATAAAACAACCTGCCGTGTAGATTGATTGATTGATGGTAAATGTACTACGACCAGCAGCTCGTGATCACATAAACAGAGGATATCCGGTAAACCCACGCAATGCAGAATCGTGAAATAATTTTACAACTCTTAATTGGTGATTGGTTTTAATAGAGAAAGGACAAGGGGTAAGAAATGCCCGAGTCATTATTATTTATTGAAAGCTCGTGGGATTTCCTTCCTCTTCGTGTTGTTCAGAGTGTTGATTTTGTGAATGAACTCTTGTCGTCAACATGATTAAGCAAGTTTGCTATACTGATTGCACTTAGACCTGTAATTAGGCGGAAATATTTATGATTACAACTGCCACCTTTAATGGCAGGGAGAAGTTCCTCTTTTAAATGAGCTGAGGCTGTTGTTCGCCACACTGACCTTAAAGTGTTTCCTTTAAAAACGCTACGATTCTTCTCTCCTCGACAATCGTCTTCCAGAATTCGAAAGAGTCCAAGCGAGCTAAAACAGTTTTGGGTAAGACTTTAAAAAAATACTTTACAGAACTAAGGCTATTGACAGCATATATTCAGTCAGACTACTACGTATCCGCTTTTGCTTTTGATTTTGCACTAATAGCATCATTATAAATTTCATCGTTAGTAATAGACATAAACAAAGGTCACCAAAAATCAAACTCAGCAAAAGCAACAGAAATAAGAACAGCAGCAGCATTGACAGCCGTAGCGATGACTTAGAAAGACAAGCTGAATACATGTACGCATAAACTGCTCGCTTTCTCTATTTCTCAACAACGACAGGTGAGTGAGAATCTCTCTTGTGGTAACGACACATATTTAAAAATATCTACCGTATTATCAATCGCCCTTTAGCTAGTAACATAACACAACGCTCACTCAGTGGCCAGTTTTCAAAAGAAACAAGCATAATGAGTTGTTTTTCTACTTAGAAGCAACACTTCATATTTCATAAGCAACGTATTTTACGTTTCAGATACAATAAAGCGGGTCAATAATTCGTGACGCAACTTATCCTCAAATATTTCTGAAATGGATGAATCAATGTCACCCATACTTTGCACAGCAGTTGTATCAGTGTATCTTAACGTAATCGTATTTTTTCCAAAACAACTTAGGCTAGATTTCAAAACCGTTCTTCAGTTTTATATATATATATATATATATATATATATATATATATATATATATATATATATATATATATATATATATATATATATATATATATTTAGCACGCAACTAAATAGTTTAAGTACTTCATGACCGACTGTTTCAGCATTACCCTACGGGTCCACTGAGACGGACACATCCGGATCTTTTGCCGGGAGGAAGAAAATCGGTCGTGTCGTTTCCGTCATGTGCGTCCTCCAGTTCGGACAAGACACGTCTAGTCTGTTGGCCTACTGGCCGTCTTATTCCACACACTGTGGTCCTAGGCTGTATCATCGGTACAGGGCTATAAATAGGCGAAGTCAAAGAACCCAAGGAGGGAATAAGAAATGAATTGGTTTTTAACAGAAAATAGGTAAAATTGTTAATATTATGCATTTAAACCAGGTGGTTTGCGGGTAGACATTGCTAATTTTGAGGCGGTGATTACGAATATTACATTAGAAATTTAATCCGAACTCAAAATTAGAATTTCTTTTAGCTCCGGCGGGGCCATATGCTCATGAGTAACGATCCGGCCCGCTTATATTGAGCAAGCGTCTTTCCAACCGACACGTCTTTTGTCGGGGCGTGTCGTGTCGTGTCTGTTAACACAGCCAAATGTACTTTTCACTGATTTCTTACAAAATAATCGGGGCTCCATTTCAAATACCGACTTTCCGAGACGGAATCGGGTCGGTTGGTGTCCCTCACGGTGGACACGGCCCTTATGTTACCTTGAATCAAAGCATAACGTGGTCAGAAGCATTAAAGAATGTTCAAATTTATTTTAAAATAGAAGAGCAGCACAGAGAGGACAGAGAAAGGTAAATATAAATAATTTATTACATGAGTTGTGGTGTTAGACCATGATTTATCCTACGAGAGAAATTGCCAAGTTGTAATCACTAGTTCCAACGAGAGATTACAATTGGCAATTTCACAAGTAGGATGAAATCATGGTCTAACAACATAACAAGTGTAATAAAAAAAAAATGTATACCATACGGAGATCAGCTGGCGAATCAGATGCGGACCAACAAGGTTGAAATGACCAGCAAATCGAACAAGGGGACCCATTCAAAAGTCTCACATGAAAACAAAATTTTCATGCCCGTCGGAATCAGAGTGAGGTTTGGAAAAAATCTGGATTGTTTTCCTATGTTTTTTGCCCCGCTAATTTACATATTGTGCTATCATTCCTCCGCGAAATAAACCCCAAACAAAACAATAATAACGTAAGAATAGGCAAAGCAAGCAGAAAACTTACGATTCAAAAGTTGAAGAAGTAAAGAAACTGCATTTATATGACATGTTGTCGTGAGAATAGGGATGACTCTGATTTTTAACTTTACCATCAAAACTAACCAAAAGGCTAGGGGTCGTTTGCTAACATCCAAGTACCTCTTTGTTAGCATAGACTTGCTAGCATTGTACAAGAATGCATTGCCGCACTCTGACATAGAGATCTCATCCCTATGTGTAATTGTTATGCTAAAACAACTCCAAGTATGGTATAAAATGCTATAGTTTAATGCAACCGCTTCTGCGAAGCAAGGTGTCACGGTTATTTCATTTCACAGTCTTGTTTTCGCAAATAATGCACTCAAATACACATACACACACACACACACACACACACACACACACACACACACACACACACACACACAGCCGAAAGGCTTTCATAAAAAAGAAATCAAACAATGACAACGAAAATAACAAAAAATGTTCCAGAGGCCACTGCCTATGGCTTATGTCAGGCATGATCAAACAATGCTACGAAGACAGACACAGACACACACACACACACTCACGTACAAGCAAACAAACACACACACAGAGCTGGTAGTAACGGAGTACAAGTACTCCGGTACTTGTACTTGCGTTACAATTTTCGGTACTTTTACTGTACTCCGGTACATTTTTGAAACCAGTACTTTTACTGTACTCCGATACTTTTTATAAAAGTACTTTTGAGTACTTTTTAAGTACAT